GACAGGGTCGGCGGATTTTCGCTTAGGTTTTCCCCAACCATCCGTTGGTGTTGGGTCTTCGTTTTGAAGAGACGGTCCCCGCGTTTTCGTCTTTCCTCCCTCCTCCCTCCCCCTCCTCCCACTCCTCCCTCCCCCCTGCGTTTCACCCAGTACAGCGCTTCGTGGCCCCATCGGGAGCTCCACCGAAACCCCCAGTGGGACAGCCCGCATGCGTCCCACACACCCAATGCCGCATGTTCACCCACCCAGTACAGCGTTTCGTGGCCCCCTACGAAGCTCCACCGAAGCAGCCAGTGGGACCGCCCGCATGCGTCCCACACACCTACTTTAGCACACCCCTCATAGGGAACTCCACCGACGCCCCCAGTGGGACCGCCCGCATGCGTTCCCCACACCTATGCGGGCACACACGCCTCACACGTTTCGTGGCCCCATAGTGAGCTCCACCGACAGTCCCAGCGCTTCCGCCCGCATGCGTCCCCCACACTCATTTCGGCACACCCCTCACAAGTTTCGTGGTTTCACAGGGAGTTTCACCGAAGGCCCCAGCGCTACCGCCCGCATGCGCCCCCCCCCACCCAACACAGCGCTTCGTGGCCCCAAAGGGATCTCTACCGAAGGTTCCAGGTCTACCGCCCGCATGCGTCCCCCTCCAGTACAGCGCTTCGCGGCCCCATAGGGAGCTCCACCGAAGCCCCCAGTGCTACCGCCCGCGTGCGTCCCCCCACCCAGTACAGCGCTCCGTGCCCCCATAGGGAACTCCAACGACGGCCCCAGTGCTATCGCCCGCATGCGTCCCCTTCACGCAGCGTTTCGTGGCCCCATAGTGAGCTCCACTGACAGTCCCAGCACTTCCGCCCGCATGCGTCCCCCCCATACAACACAGCGCTTCGTGGCCCCATAGTGAGCTCCACCGACGCCCCCCGTGCTACCGCCCGCATTGCTACCGCCCGCATGCGTCCCCCCACCCAGTGCAGCGCTTCGTGGCCCTATAGGGAGCTCCACCGAAGGCCCGGTGCTACCGCCCGCATGCGCCCCCCCCCACCCAGTACAGCGCTTCGTGGCCCCGTAAGGAGCTCCATCGACGGCCCCAGTGCTACCGCCCGCATACGTACCCCCCACCCAGTGCAGCGCTTCGTGGCCCCATAAGGAGCTTCACCGAAGAAGATATTCACAATTGCGGCACCCACAACTGCATATGGTTGGGCCTTCCGCCAGGATAATTAATACAACATGCTAATCTCACAGAAGCGCTAGCCTCACCGTGATGCATATAACACCTCGCGGTCTGTCACATTCTCCCCGAACAACCCGCGGTTTGTCACATTCTCCCCGAACAACCCTCGCTCTGTCTCTCGATAACCCAGCTTCTGTTCCTCGCCCTCCTGCACCCGAGCGTGCGCCTGCGCTTGTTCCTCCTCGTGAGTCCTCAGTTGGCCGCATCGGTGTTCCTTGACTGCGCACAGCCTTTTCGACTCTGAACGGTTCTCCCCTCGCCCTTCGACTGCGACAGCGCGCATCATCTGTCGCATGGTGTGTTGGCGATACGTATATGTCTGTGCACCGGAGAGAGAGAAAGAGAGAGAGAGAGAAACAACACAAACAGAGCAGCGCTCCCCTGACACCGCCGCGGCGAGTGCACAGTCGGGCCTGCTGCCCGTGGCGGCTGCTTGCGCGCCGGCCGCGGCTGCAGCGGCCCTGGCGGCGCCTGGTCCAGGCGGAGGCCAGGAGGCGGGGCAGCCGCCCCCGACTGCGGTGCGCAGGCGGTCGCGCAGCTGCGGTACTGACAATTGCATATGGTTAGGTTCTTCGCCAGGCTAATGTTCGTCTTTCTCTCTCTCTCTCTCTCTCTATATATATATATATATTTCTCTTTATCTCTCTCTTTCTCTCGCACCGCCATCGGCGCGGCCACAGTCATGTCGAGGCCTGGCCGCGAGCGCACGGCGCTACGCCCGCGGCGGCGCGGCAGCCTCACGCCGCCAGCCCGCGCCCCGGGGCGGCGAGCGCCTCTTCTTCTTCGTATTATTATTATTATTATTATTCTCATTATTATTATTATTATTATTATTATTATTATTATTATTATTATTATTATTATTATTATTATTATTATTATTATTTTTTATTATTATTATTATTACTACTACTACTACTATTATTATTATTAATATTATTATTAGTATTATTATTATTATTATAATACTTATTATTATTACTACTATTATTATTATTAGTATAAGTTTTTTTTATTATTATTATTATTAGTATTATTGTTATTATTATTATTATGATTATTCTTCTTCTTCTTCTTGTCGCCTGCTGTCGCCGACGAGCCCTGCGGCAGGCGGCCGCCGCGCGCCACCTCGAGGCCCCTGGCGCGATCCAAACCCAGCAGCTTGGCGAAGGCCCCGCGCCTGCAGCAGAAGGCGCAGGGCCCCGCCTCACGCCTGCCGCGGCCCAGCCCCTGGCACGGCAGGCCGATCTCCCCGCGCGGCGT